TTCACAAATTGAGATAACTTTTCTATGCCTCAGTTTGTGTACCTGTGAAGTGGGAACAAAAAAGGGCTCCACTATTGCAGAATCTATTTACTATACTATAGTGCCATTTTAATGCAAATGTTTCCTAAACCATCTTTGCAGCCAAATTCTACATTATTGATAGTAGCTACCCTTATTTTTCTTTCCAGAAACTTTGACCTTCATTAGCTGGTTTATAGACCCACTATATAAAATTAAATAAATGGATTACCTGGGTTTTGGACATAAGAAAACAGAAACAATAAGAAATCTGAGGATATTCAGAGTCAAGAACCACCAATCCTCACTACTTATAACCCACTCAGTCAGTGAGACCAAATCATTTGCAAGCCTCTACAAAGCTGAGGCTCACAATACCTGGGAAAAGTTCTAAACGATTCCTTAGTTCAGTGCCATTACAAGAATACTTGAAATGGGTCCAATTCCCATGTTTCTATTCAAAAGGTACAGTCCTGCCTTGGGGTCTTTACACTGTCTGCACCCCTGCGTGGATCTCACTGCCTCACAGGCATCTTCATGGCTAACTCCCTCATCTCCTTCATGGTGAAGACTCCCATATCAGCTTCTTGTGAGTCCTATCCTGGCTAACCTGTTTATTATCCCAATACTCCTTTCTCCCAATACATTTTACCTTGGTCTAGCTTTTCTATTCTCTGTATCATTAAGCACCATTCAACATACTATATCACTTTTTTCAATTGTTTATTACCTATCTACTCCCACTAGAATATAGGATTCCCCAGAGGCTACAATTTTATTTCCTTCACCAGAAAAAATCAAGTTCCTAGAACTATTCCTGACATGAAGCTGTGCTCAATATATGGTATTACATAAATATAGAATGCAGAGGTACTTAAAAAATGTACCAAAAGATCAAATTAGAATAATCCCACGGTTGCCATGTGATTTCATAGCACTGGGATGTAGGCATTTTATGAGGCAAGGGCATGACCTTCGGTGCTAAATTTAGTGCTCTTGGTGTTTTCAAGATTCCTGGTTACCAGTTTAACTTCACTTACCTAGGATGTTCATGCCAAGAGTGTTTTTACAAACTCAAATATCTACTTATAATGAGAAGCAAACAAACTCTGACCAGCTTTTCCCTTGTCTAGGAAACAGCACCAGGTCTATGAATGAATTGGAAGCAAAGTTGTACAGAAGCACATCACAGTTGCAGGGATGTGGTGTTTCCAGGCAATTTAAATAGAGGGTGGGGAGGATTTCAGCTGAGGTCCTTAGGTTATTCACTGAGTCAGGTTCTCCTATACTGAACCAGCAATGAGATACAAGAAAAAAGAGGAACATAGGTACAACATTTGAGCAAGAGGAGGAAAATTAGCTAAGATACAGGGTGGTGGAAAGCACACTTCCCTTGTCTCTAAAGCCTCAAATCCCTGTTCCTATGGGAAGAGAAAAATGGCTTAAAACAAGAGCTAAAGCACTCGGGATGATTATAGCTCAGTAACAGAGTTCATGCTTTGCATGTGGGAGGCCCTGGATTTAATCTTTAGAACTACCAAAAATAAAAACCAAGAGCTAAGTCTGCATATATAAAATGACACACCTTAAGACACTTAATTTGAATTAAACACAATACAGTCATAATAAAAACTTGAAAAAAATCTATCAAGCAAGGCATACACCATATTCCCTATAAACCTTAATTTCATCCCTGCTTAAGGATTTTGACTAGTGGCTAAATGGTAATAACCCAGAAAGGTCTCCAAGATGGAACTATCATCTAAGCATATCTGTTACAGTAAGTCAATAATTAAAAATAATCAACTGTCTCCAAAAATTTATAGAATGAATCATAAACAAGTACCATAAAATAATAAATGTACAGAGCTTTCATGAAATGTGATACAGTTTCACTCGTCTCTTCATCAAAAGTTTTTTATGATACTGCCTTTGATTACCAATCAGTCTGTTTTTATGCTTCCTTGGATTAATTCTTACTTCTTTCCACATGTAGGGATATCTTTCAAAGTTAAGGAGCCTCTCCTCAGTCAAGGTATAAAACAGTTTAAATGAGCCTCTTTAACCTGGGACTTGCAAGGGTTTTCACTTTAATACTTATTTTTCATAAGGTTTGCTGTTTCAAACTTTTTCCAAAGTATAATAATTATTAGCTCTGCCACAGTTTGCCTAAGTCATACCTATTGTTATTAAGTTAGTTTTTCACTATTTCATCATTAAAAGAAGAGCATTAGCCCTTTGGGAGTAAGCAACTATTACAAATTGTATGAGAAAATGTACGAATCCTCAACCTTTTTTTTTTTTTTGGCACCACAGATCAAACTCAGGTCCTTGTGCTTGCACAGCAGGCAGCAAAACACTGAGCTAAATTCCCGGCCCTCAACCTTTTTAAAATGTTTGCACAAAACTGAGACAATTTCTGCAAACTTAAAAATAACTTGTGATTTAGTAACAATTAGTCTTAAATCATCTGATTACAAGCTGACTCTTCAAAAAAGGTAATTGTCCTTAACACATTTATGTAAATATAATTTTTAGTTTTTTAACCAGCCAGGCCATACTTGTCAGGCAATCTCAGCTTACATAAATTACAGATTATCCTGCTATAATTTAATGAGAATGGATAGGGTATGCAATGACAGCTTCCATAGGTCAGGAAATATTATTTACCTGTATTATTAACACATTTACATAATACATACATAATAGTATTACTTGCATTTATTATTTCCCATTTATTATGAGTAAGGGCAGGTATGTAAACTAACAAAATTTCTACTAGAACTTTGTATTACTAGAGTTTTAGCTTTATGGTAAACCAGCCATCATGAAAAACCTGATTTATATTTTCAAGCACTTTCAGATATGACTATCCAGTCATGATATGAATCAGCAAATTTGTTACTCCACTAAACTGCTTTTAAGACTACCATAACTCCAGAGCCCAGCTCTTCTATCATACTGGTATCAGTGGAGATGGAAGAAGCTATTGCATGTTTTTTTTAAAACTTTCTCATTTCAAAATCTGGACAATCACTCATCAGAACTATCTTTCCAGAGACATTTTGTGGACTTTTTCATGTTTATTTTCAATTCTGGATGACTCAATCAGATCCCATTCTAAACAGGCATTCAATGCTCTCTAAGCACCCACTGGGTGTAAGGAAGGACATCTATATGGGAGGCAAAGGAGCATAGGGCTCTGCCTCATTAGTGCATAAATACACGGTCGTGATTTATTCTCTCAACTTTGTAGAAACGTGAGCTGCATCCACATGGCTGAATCCGTGGCGTTCATATGGACTTCCTGGGACAGTCTACAGGTTCTCCGGATGGGACAACCCCTAGCTCTCTAAAGCATCACGCGGTCCCTTCGGTCCACACAGGACAACTAGCGGGTGAGGGCCACACCTTCCGCAGGTGGCTGCGCAGTCTGAGCTGGAGAACCTGACCCATCTCCCTTCGCAGGGGCTCCAGAGAGAAAGTGCAAATGTGTGCAAGGACTTCTGCGAATCAGAGGACTTGTTGAAAGGTCGCGGGGTGCGGCGCGCGGGGGAAGACGGCTTCCCCGGGGCTCCCCTCCCCCGCGGCCCTGGGGCTCGGGCGCGGAGCAGGCCCCGCCGATCCCCGGGCGACGCCGGCGTACCTCGGGCCTAGCACTATTTGAAAGGCAAATCGCTGAGCCCGGGCGCTTTTAAATACCCGGCCGCGGGCCCAGGGGACCGAACTCCAGCGGGCGCCGCCGCAAGGGCCTCCGGGGCGCCCGGGGCCGGGTGTGGGGCGCGGCCCGCGGGCACACCCGGAACCTCAGCCCGCAGCGCCCCGGCGTCCACGCCAGGCCGGGACAGCAGCGGGCCCCTGGCGTCCCGGGCCGGCACGGCGGCCACGGGGGGGGGGAGGATGAACACCAGTGCTCAGAGAGCCGGCAGCCCCGGCCCCCTCCCGGCGCACCACACCTAGCAACCGGCGCTGACAGGACGCAGTGGCGGCGGCGGCGGTGGGAGGAGGAAGCGGAATGGC